AGGAGCGTAGCTATCGACCTGCTCAAGGTGATCGTCGAGTTGGCATGTAGCACAAAGCCGTCAAACACAAAGAGTTGACCAGGGAGAAAGGTCTCCCCGGAAACAGTGTCGTCGTCGATGACGAGGCGAGCCATCGATTCTTCTGTCGACAACACAACGGAACTCTCAATGAAAGCACCAATGTCGTTGTCAAAACCGGCAGATCTCGGGTAGGGGGTCCCAAGTTGTGTGTTTGAGGATCGATGGTAACAAGGGACAATAGGGACACGATGTTTACCCAGGTTCGGGCCCTCTTAAAGGAGGTAAAACCCTACGTCCTGCTTGATTGTATTCGATGAGTATAGAGGTTACAAGAGTTGATCCACCTCGAGATCGTAATGGCTAAACCCTAGATGTCTTGCCTATGATTATTCGGATGGCCTCTACGGACTAAACTCTCCGGTTTATATACTGGTGGGGCCTAGGGTTGTACAGAATCGGTTTGCAGAGGAAGGAAACAGTACATCCGGACACCAAACTTGCCGTCCACGCATATTGGAGTCCTTCCCGGACACGGGGGATAGTCTTCTGCTTTATCTTCACGGCCCATCAGTCCGCTCATATTAAATAGACCGGACATCCGAGGACCCCCTAATCCAGGACTCCCTCAATGGGTGTTGGCTTGGTGTGCTGGTCCTATGCGGCCTTAGCACGACGAATTTATGACTGTCTACTAAACAAGGTTTGCCGGGCTCCAATGTGGGAGGGGTAACGACGACAGCGCGCCTTCAACTCGTTTCAGTGCTTGTAGTCGTCGTTAGATGGTCTACGGACCTGGATGTAATTTTACTTCCGGTATTCTTTGTACTATCTTGACAGTTGATGAATAGATCAAAAGTTTTCTCGCAAAAAGAAAAGGAATTTCACAATTGAATTGCATATTCATTAATTAATTTGTATATTGTTATTCATGCACTAATGATGAACAAAGGATGTTACTACTCCTATTTGGCGGGCTTGACATTTAAAGAATAGTTCTTTCTTTTTGGAGATGGTAAGGCTTCAATTAGTGTGTCGATTAATTTTTTGGACAATTTGTGGACGATCCCGTGTCCTTTTATGGATGACAAAGGGGAAGAAAAGATTGTCAATCTTTATATATTGCACTCATCTATTTCTCATCCAATCTCTTGGGTTGCGCCACAAGCTGGGATTTTTAAAATAATAAATATTGACGCTAGCTTTTTTCCAAGAAACTTCCAATATATTCCTCATCAATCATGATAGTACAATGAATGTCAGAAATAATAAAAATTACATCCAAACCCGTAGACCACCTAGCGATGACTACAAGCACCGAAACGAGCCGAAGACGCGCTGCCATCATCGCCTCTCCCTTCCTGAAGCCGGACAAAAGTTGTTATAGTAGACAGTCAGGAAGTCGGCGTGCTAAGGCTCTATAGGACCAACGCACCAGAACAGCAACCGTCGCCATTGAAGAGAAGTTTAGATTGAAAGGGTCCAACTTGTAGACACAAAAACACACATGAGCAAAGACCGGATCCTTGTGGATCCACCGAAGACAAATGCCAACCGAATCTTGCGAGATCCGCTGAAGACAAACCTTCACACACCCTCTGATGACGCTAGAAACATCATCAGAACTGTTGACGCTAGCTTTGTGGAGGAAAAATTTGCTCGTGTTGGTGTGGTAGTAAGAGATCGTGACGGGTGGTGCTCCTCTCATCTTGGGAATTCCTGCCATGCTACACATGTGTGGAGCAAGAGGAGATCCGGCCTTGTATTACTTGGTTGTATATTTCGGTTACTTAGCATAAGCATTCTGCTATGGAGACTGATTGCCAGTTCGTGAAAATTTACTAGTCTAATAATGCCTTGGACAGATCGACCTGTGGACTTGAAGAGGGAATTGTTAGGAGTTCTTGCTCTAATTCCTCAGTGCACTATAGAGAAGTTCAAACAAGAGAAAAACAAGGTGGCCCATGAGATTGTTAGGTTTTGTTCAAATCATAGAGTTAATGGGTTGTTACATGGGGATGTCCCGTCCTGCGTGATGATATTTGTAATGAAAGATTGTAATACTTTGTCCTAATTAATATATAGAGTGTTTTTTTAAAAGGTGACCGGGTGGAAAGGTATAAATTTTATAATTGCCTCTTGAACATAATACCAACAAAAGTTGTAAGAAATGAACGGCTAACTCAAAAATAACCATGTTATGTTTCATCTTCTCGAAGTTCCATCCTTCTACAATCATCAAGACCAAGATTCAATGAAATTCCAAATTTGGCGAAAAAAATCCCTATAAAAAACCCTAATAAAACTCTATCTAGATTAGAAAATAAATTAGATAGTAAATCCAATCAAAGTTTAGGACGATGCAAACAATTCTAAAATACAAAGCTTTCATATCGTCCAAACCTTTGTTATCAGTCTACTCATATAATTACTTTTATAGAGTAAGTTCAACATAATATTCGCTTAGCCAGTATTGTACATCATCAATAATAGGTACTCCACGCTTTGTGATAAGTATCTACATTTTAGTACTCAAATACATAGTGAAGTCATAAAGAATACTAAAAACTCGATTCATCATATAAGACAAAAGACAATCTTCCTTGTACCGTTGTTATACGAACGCATCTGTAATTCTTACCTTATGACAATGGTAGGGGTAGGGCTAAAAACTCGAAGTACATAGTGAAGTCATAAAGAATACTAAAAACTCGATTCATCGTCTAAGACAAAAGACAATCTTCTTTGTACCGTTGTTATACGAACGCATGTATAATTCTTACCTCATGGCCAAAAGCCGGAAACAACAAAAAAATCATATGAACACATATATTTGGCCACACAAATTTTAGTTACCTACACAAGGATGAAGTCTTGCACCACCACTGCTTTAACACAACCCAAAAACATAAGAAAGCATGTGTGTGCTATTACGTCCAATCCGACATCCCTTGGCCCACCTCCTTCTTTTTGAGAATTCCTAGACCCGCCCCTGTCTCGCGGGCTCTATACAATGAAGCATTGAGATCCACATATTTTATATCCCTACACGACATAGCATTGTACTCATCCTTGTGAGCCAGTTATTTAACTTGTATTGATTCATTTTAGGCATCAAAATGACTTAATGATAAAGTAACACTTGACCCTAAACCACATTGACCATGTTTTGACATGGCAATTCTATAGAATTGACGTCATTAAGGTGTTAAGTTAGTATGCTAACACGAAGATGACGGAAATATTTGAATCTCAAAGCACAATCTGACATTATATCTAGGGATATCGACTCAAAAGAGGGCATTAATATAGCCCACGGGTATACTAAAAAAACAATAGCCGATGGGGTAGCAACATTTTTTTTCCTTCTGTTTTAGAACAAAAGGAGAACTTCCAACAACCACTTAGTGATGACGATGGTTATATGCAACTGTATATTAGTACATCCTTGTCGAAAAAATTGATATAATTATAAAAAGTGAAATACCAGGCTTTTAGTTGGTATATAAAGGTTGACTACAAACCAAGCATGCCTTCAGCATATGTGAACCTCCAAATGAGCCAGCAGTTGCTTGCAAAGCACGGGCAAATCTCGACCATACACATCTAAAACAATTGTACACATAAAAAAAGTCACTTCTTTCTGTTGTAACATTGTCTCGCTGCATTTTTTGGTTAGACGCTTTATTTACTTAGGACTGGAGAATATATAAATTTGAACGCATGTTCTCTAAAACGTCGTTGTACATTTCTGCAACGGGTGCACTCCTTCAGGTTAACAACACACATCGCACACTATTACACCGCGATTCATCTCGCAAAAATATGTTTATGTCACATATTACATCTTTCTGCTGGTAGTAGTACGAGTATGTTTTAAGCACAAATGTATTTGCAAAAAGAAGAAATTACATCATCATAAATGAAAACATGTGTTTCTGGATAGAGACGCACCGTAGGCCAACTAGCAACCACAAATGAATTGTGCGGGCGCACTCTTGTTTTGTGGCAACCAATTGGGAGACTTGGCGTGACAGCCAAAAAGAGAATTGCCCGCACGGGTAGGTAGGTACTTTGCCCAACCCAATGTGTTCTGTTGCGCAGGGTACATCTACCTGTTTGGTCGCCTGTTGCTGCAGCCAAGTTGCTGTTCGAGTCATCTAGGAGTATATCCTTATCCGTGTTTCCACCACACACACACACACACACACACAGAGACAAACCCTCAAAAGAGCACTGCTCACCAGACTGCTGGCAAGACCTCACTACTGATTGCCCTACATAAGCACGTGTTTAGTCAGATATCATGCAGTCCTGATGCTATTAGGCCTGCTGATTTGGGTGGCATTTCATCGTTTTTGTTCGTCTGATTTGGTCAGCATTTCTGTAGAATTTTGAGGAAAACCGAAAATCTCGCATTCCAAACATGCCTGCATATATTTTGTTCAGATGGAGGATGGTTGGTCACCATGCACTTCATGCCCCCATAGAGCCATCTCTGCAAATTGGAACACATGAATTTGACGCATTTTTACACGCGAAATTCATGTGCCCGGATACATCTTGAATGATATAGTATGATAGTACAATTTTGCATGTCTTCATGAGGCTGCACAGCACAAAAGAAGTGCAGAAACAGCATGAGAAGTGGGCAAAATATTTTGCATAGCCAAACACAGCAGGGATTTCACAGCCGGCTTCCGTTGACAACCATCAGATTTGAATGGCACAAGAAATGTACTTTACAGTTCTTTCAATCAAGCAATTTGCTCTTACAGGAATGCTTACAGGATTTCCAGCATATCCGGATCGCTTATATTTCCACTAGCAAAAAACAAACCTTTTGAAAACAGAAAAAGAAAAGAACAGATTAAGAACGAAGCGACTTGGCAAAGAGTATAGAGCACCAAGAACCTATACCACTAACTACAGAATCAACATGTATTAACGATTTCAGCGGAGTTATTGATTGCGAGCTATATCTAGTTTGCCCCATAGCCCCGCGGATGCGACTTTTGCCACTTCCACGCGACAGACAGGCTTTCCTTCAGATCGGTGTGTTGAGCAGTCCAGTTGAGCTCACTGTTGATCTTGGTGGGGTCACTGAATACTTCAGCATAGTCTCCTGGCCTCCTGCTGAGGTACTCAATTTTGATGTCAACCCCAGTTGCCTGCTTGCAGGCATCGACAAACTCCTTAACGGAACGGCCTGAATAGAGGAGATGGATAGGGGCATGATTTGACAGGACAACTTCAGTTAATTCTTCAAGTATGATACCATAATTGCATAACCTTTACATGGTTTTTTTTTCTAATGTAAGATCAGTAAAGAATACTCCTTTGGTTCTTCTCGACTAACTCTTTGCATGTTCTTCTATGCCAATTTTCATATATAAATGATATGCTTTGTCCTTGTGTGAGCAAAGAATTAACTGCAATTAAGTAAAATTAGAAAGAAATCTAGTATTGTCAAACCTCTTCCAGTGCCAACATTATAAATGCCAACTTTACTAGGCTCTGCCTTGTTGAGTGCTTTCACATGAGCATCTACAAGATCTGTGACATCAATGTAGTCTCGTATGCAGGTTCCATCAGCTGTAGGATAATCTATCCCTTTAACCTGCAATTGATTTGTCAAAATCCATCAGCTTCACCCCTTACTCACTGATTGCACTTAAAACACAGGCGTGCTACTTACTCTGAAGCAGAGAGCATAAGCATTATATACCATATTAATATTATAATCCAAACATGCACAACTTCATACGCGAACCTGCTTCAGTCAATATACAAGAAAAAAAATACCTTCAATCCTGAAATGACTCCTAATGCTGCATCAAAGCATGCTCCAGATATTCTTCCATGCTCTCGTAGTTCAGGCCTAGGAGCCTCACCTAATCTTCCCTCCGGGTCTGATCCAATGACATTGAAATATCTAAGACAAAAGTTTTCATGTCAGTCAAAGTCAATTCTGTGTTCATAAATTCCTAATTTGTACAAATATCCCACCTTAAAATCATGACAGCCATATCTGTTCTCTTTGAGAAATCTAGTATGATGTCCTCTGCCATTTTCTTGGCTTTTCCATAGGGGTTAATTGGCAACTGTGTAAAGATACATATAAAGCAATTAGGAAAATAATACCAAAAATATCGGATGTTCCAACAAGTTAAATAGATTTTGTTTTGCACGAATAGAGGTACATACATGAAACTAGCAATAGTGAAGTAAAGAGTAAAATATTGAGGTAGCAGCACTAAATTTTGCCTTTTCAATAATTGGAAGATGAAATACCCAGAAACATTGCCTTCATAAGGCCATCTTAAAAATAGTCGCATACACTTCTAGAAGCTATGTTAAAAATAATCGCCTGCACGTCTACAAGTCATCTTAAGAATATCTACCTGAGGTGTGGTTTCTATTATAGGCATCTTCTCTGGTTCTCCATAAGTTGCACAGGTACTAGAGTAAATAAGTGTCTTGACTCCATGAGAAGCCATAGCCTCCAAAATCAGTAAGGTGTTTGATGTAATATTGTGATAATACCTGCCAAGTAGTCGAGATTGTCAATCTATAACAGCATTATCTAGAGAACTACAAAATATTCAAGTGCATGATTGAGGGGTTGACATTACAGTGCTCCATGGACTAATTACAATGTTAGTTTTTTGGAAGGAAAGGAAATTGAGTGTCTTTTCCCCTAGAAGAATATGGTTAGGTCGTTCTACAGAAGTGTGTGTAAGGTGGGTGAGGCTTAACAGGTGAAGTGTGTCAAACTGTCAATAAGGTGATGACTTACCTAAGGGGTTCCATTGTACTCTCACCCACATAGGCAACAGCCGCAAAGTGCATCACAGCATCAAATGCATTTTCAGAAAATATCTTGTTGACCTGGAGTCCGGTTAAGTGAATAACAAGAACAATATAACTGTAAAGGACAACATGCTGCAGGTGGTGTTATAAGCATAAAATTAGGATACAGATTTTTGATCCCCAAGATCTGCATAGATGAATTGAAGTCTCCCAGGCTCCGGAAATAATTCTTGGAGAACCTTTACTGCTCCTTTATTTCCTCTAGAAAGATTGTCCTACAAGAATAAACATAACTTATCATCAAGGATGAAGATCCACCGAATGAATCACTCCTTCAGATATTCAACAATTCCACAGAAAGATAAACAGAATTACCACAATGGTAACTCGATAGTTGTCTTTTAATAGCTGTAATGAGGCATGTGAACCAATATAGCCAGCTCCTCCTGTCACTAAGACATGGGTAACCCCAGGTTCATGACGAGAAAACTGCAGCGGTACATGAACCAAAATCAGCTCTACAGTTGTGATTTAAGTGAATATAGATATAACAATACCATGATAATCATGTAATCATAACAAAGAGGACAAAATAAAGGACCTTGCATGAAGTGATGAAAAGTGTGAGCAACAGAAGTTGATACACACTTTAGTTTCCTATATCCAACACTTCGAATCAAATTGCAAAGTAAATGATTTTTGTCTGGCTCGTCTATTAATAGCTCAAAAAAATTCTTCAGCTCCAGTGATATCATACCCAAGCTTCACCGCACACATATGATGCAAATTTATATATGTACATCAAGTTAGATATGACCACACACAAAGTCAATGTAGTTTTTTAACTGCAATTAGCAAAAGCCTTTAAAATGTCATACAAAAAAACACTGCGCTATATAATTAACCTGTAGTTTCAGATATCTGATATATCTACATCTGCAAATTCACCAAATAGTTTTTCTTCAACAGGAAAAAGTCAGGGGTATTTATTGAGATGGCTTAGCTGTCATAATATACAACTACCACCTTATTGATGAAAGATCCAATTTGTTAGGATGCATTAGGCCCACAACTTACCAAACCAAGAAGTCGCAACAAACAGTCATGGAAGTTCAAGTTGGACCATGACCTAATGTAAACTACAAAGCAATGCAAAGACTATTGGCTGGAGGGATGTCACTTTCATCATCTGCTTGCTAGCACTACTAAGAGTAGCTAATATGCGCGTGGACAAAACTAGAATATTTATCATTCTTTTTATGTTTATACAAGGATGTATTCAATAACCCAAGTGATGATATGCTTTTCTGTTACGCCTACAGTTGCTTGAGACTAAAACAAACTATTCGATGAAGTGCCCAGCAAGAAAACAAAAAAGGAAGGACCTTAGAAAGGTGTAATCAATTCCTATAGGTAGATATGTGACCTTTAATTTGTGTGCTATTAAACATGAGAAAAAACTGATTCCGAAAGCAAGTTAAAAAGAATATGATTGGAGGGAAAAGGATAAGAGATACGTGGACATCTTACCACACTATTGCCACCAAAACCAGGAGATTGCTTCAGAACAAATATACAGAGTGCTACGAAGAGCAGGGCCACAACGACTTTCCCAATATTATGTGGTTTACGCCTAGCATCAAAGTACTCCATCCCTATCAACAACAAAAATATAGACCATAAGGGAAACGACCATAAATGTAATCATTACGAATTTATGCTGGTTGATTAAGCTGAAGCATACTCGTGATCAGACCAATGGAGCAACCAAGTCGATTAGAACAATGAATAAGAGAGAGATGAACCTCACAGAAAATAACTTTCTCTTTGTTAAATATATGCAGTAACCAGTAAGTATACTGTTGACTTGCTTGAAATGTGATCGCGACAAAGCGACAGCTTTCCTTAAAGGCTAAATTCGTATGGGTGCACATGTCCAGTTGACTTCAGTTCAAATACTGCATCTAATTGTTTTACTTTCACTTGCCTACCTTTCTAGCAACTTACATCTTTAATGTCTATGTAAGGAGCATTACTTCAGGCAGAAGAAACACCACTGAAAACAGTGCCAACAGAAACACTACGGGGCTGTTTGGTTGGTGCCCATGCCAGCCCTACCAAAACGAAGGCTTGCCAAAATTTTGGCGCAGGAATTTGCCGCCAGGAATTCGCCCGCTGGCTACTACAGAATCACATAGCGTCACCAAATAATTGGCAATGATCCAAAAATTTGGCCATGATCCAAATGCATGCATGCCATCCAAACAGCCCTACGACTTTCAGTGTGAAACAGCACAGCTTCACTAACAAGCATGCTAAACATCACCGTGGAAAGCTAAGCATGCACTTGTACACCAGGTGAATCCCATTGTAGGCTCTAAAAAGGACAGCTTTTTCAGGTGGAGTATTGAAAATAATAATATCACATTGTATCATGGGGCATGGATTCGAGAGACAAATTAAGCAAAAACAATGCCCACCCACTACTGGTTGGCACACATGCTGAAGGACTATTGGGGTGAAAAGCCATGGCAATGAGGTGTCTATGTATCTAAAGAAACAGTAATAGCCAAGACTGTGTACAGAGATCTACCAGCCCTAGGCTGTGTTCCCCTCCTGTTTACAGGGACCATGTAAGAATTCTACTCCTTGAGACGAACTAGCCAATGGTGGAACCTCTACTCGCCGCCGCCACTGCCGCCACCTTGATCTTTCTGCCAATGGTGGAATCCCTACAGAACCAGCACACGGCATGTGTCAGTCACAAGGACACAAAAAATCACACCCAGAGCAAGCGAATGATAAGAATCCCCATGGCCATAGGGCGGCCAATTCCAACAGGGCAAGAACAGCATTGCAATTCCAAACAAGGGTCAACAGCATTAGATAGAGCATTGGGCACCAATTGGCCAAAAAAAAAGAAACATGTCCAAAAGTCGATTCGCCGGTCTTAATCTCGAATTCAGAAAAGGACAAAGCGAAATGAAAAGCGCAAGATCTCGAGTTGAAGAGAGTGCCGCCGGGATGGAGTTTTCAGGCGTGGCAACCGCAGTAGATCCGAAGAGAGCAGCACGGAACAACGACGAGAGAAATCGAAGCGCATTTACTTCTTATTATTACCTTATCCTCCAGGAAAAAAAATCGCAA